ATATAATAGTTTACCGTGAGTCAGCACAAGTAACGCCGGCATATGTCCTGGGACAAGAATAGTTCAGTTTAGTAACACTGATAAAGAGGAAGAGCCTGACTTAATATGGGTGGTTGATGGGTGTTCTGTACCCCGTGGTGTGCTTCTTTTTTTCCTCTGTAGAACGTCTTTCCTCTTTATCCTCTTCCTCCTGTTCTTGTTATGTCACTGTCTTATAGGCCTATCACATCTGGTGTTCGGTCCTGGTACACCCTCATAAGGTATTTAATCTTTGTTTCGAGATGATCATAAAAATGTCGTCAGCATGGGGATGCTGTATGGGTGGTTGGCGGGTGCTCTGGTGTAGTTTGCTCCTATCAAACGTCTACCGTCCTTATCTCTCCTTCTTTTTTGTGTTTGTTACCCTCTTGTAACACATCTATTCTTCGACATATGACCTTATTGTGTTGCAACTGCCGTAAAACTCCCACTAAAACTAAAACTAACTGATCTTCAGTACTCGTACACCCTCACAAGGTATTTAATCTTTGTTTCAAGATGATATTAAAAAATATTCTATCCATGGAGATGTTGTCCTGGATACAACCTGTTCAGGACAGTCATCTGTACAAATGACCACTTCACCCATTGCGTAGTTTATATATAATGACACTGCCCAAGATGTCCACCTGTATAAGGCAATCACTTTTTTCCTACAAAATTGGTGGTCGTCTGGGCCAATTTCTTCTTTCCTATTAAACATCTCTCATCCGTATCTGCCCTCCTTCTTTTGTTACCTCTAATCTTCTACACTTAAATGATCTATTTATGTTGCATGTGCTTTAAAACTTTTACTAAAACTAAATAAACAAAAACTAAATATTATCCGATAAATGACCTTGTTTCTTTTTTCTCTCTCTCTGTTGTGCAGAAATCGTGGATGGCAATGTGAAAATGACCCTGGGTATGATCTGGACCATCATCCTCCGTTTCGCCATCCAGGACATCACAGTTGAAGGTAAGGAAGGCTGCTGCTGTCTTTTCTCTCTCCCTGGCTGTTAGACAAAGAATTACCCGAAGGACAAAGAAATAAAATAAAGTATGTTGGAGTCTGCTTCAACCGAACTCTAAAGGCGGGTGCTCTGTTGTGGTTTTTGTTTTTTTTCCTTCCTATCAAATATCTGTTATCCAATGGTCTTGGTCTTTTCTCCTTCTGTTTTGTGTTTGTTACCCTCTTGTAATACTTCTTATCTTCAGCACTTATATGATGACCTTATTGTATTGCAAGTGCTGTAGAACTCTTACTAAAACTTTAAAAAAAAATTTTTTTGGGAAGAACTCTGCAGAACTGCAGGCTTTTCTTCAGTTCAGCCGAGTTTTCAATTTAGAGAGGGAGGTTGCTCAGACAGAAGAGGAAAAAAAAATCAGGGGTTTTATGTTCTTCTGAGAAGCCTGTTTTCCGATTAACCTTGTTCAGCTTTAGCAACGTCTCCAAAAACCATTTTCCAAATTGTTTTCTAGCTGCTGTCAAATATACATTTGAGGTGTTGGGCTTTTCTGTGTTCAGATTGACCTCGTTCAGGTTTAGCAACATCAACAAAAAGTTTTTCAAATTGTTTTCTCGCTTTAGTCAAATATACATTTAGGGTGTTGGGGAGGTGACGTAAGGTGCCCAATCAAACAATCAGTCAATAAATCAATCAATCAGTCAGTTGACCAATCAGTCAAGCAACCAATCGGTCAACGAATAAATGAATCTATCAATCGGTCAACCAATCAATCAGTTAATCTGTCAGTCAATCAATCAGTTAATCAGTCAATCAATCAATCAAACAATCAATCAAGGATCCGTCTGTACTTGAAATCCCCAGAACTGACAGCCAAGGAGGGACTGCTGTTGTGGTGCCAGAGAAAGACGGCGCCCTACAAGAACGTCAATGTACAGAACTTCCACCTCAGGTAATGTTGTGCACATGCTGGGCCACCTCCCTGTGTGGCTGCCTCATTTATATTTGTTTATTCAGATGTAAAGATGTCGATCTAGTGCCGTAAGACATTCTTTGTCATGGGGAAACACAAAATACTGGTTGTTTTTTTATGTTGGGGATAAAAAAAAAAAAATGAATTAAAGGCAAATTGTTGACAGATATCATTATACTTTAGACAAGGGAGAGAAGTGGGTCTTGAGTCTACTAATGGGCTGGCATAGAGCAAGATATTAGTTCAGTTTGGGGAAGGGTGGGAGGTTGTCTTTTTTTTCCGATGTAGAACCTAGCCTTTTTGGACAGGTGTTTATGTGGTTGTTTGATTTGCTTTACTCTGAAAAGATCCTGAGGTGTATCTTTTATAGATCATAGCTGCCACTTTCCCGCTAAATAGCGGAAACTCCGCTACATCTAGCTTTCCCCGCAACTTTCCTCCTTCCTCCGCTGGACCGCTCTTGGTCGCAAATTTCATACTTTTTTTCCCACGCGGAAAACACCGAACCGGGAGAGAGACGAAAACGCGGTCTGCGCATGTCCGCCCGTAGCTTTCTACTTCCGTTCTTCTAGGCCCAGCGCTAGTTTCACATTGTTTATTGTTGTGGAGCAACACAGTGTCGATCGGGCATCGGGACGTTAGCGCGCCGAGTTGTCATTGAAATTGGCGGAAATTCGAGAGAAATTGATTCAGAATGCAAAAATAAAAGGAGCTGGAATGAGAAAGAAGCAGCCGGTGTGCGACTTGAAAAGTTCTTAGGAAAGTTGAACTAGCTGTTTTTTGCGAAAGAAATCGCGGCCCGTGGCACTCCTGTTACACTCCTGTACAATTGCGGTCCCGTTTGTTTACATGACGGCTATTGTGGCTGCTGCGGAAGTGAATCTAGATCTAGATTTAGATCTAGAAAATCTATCTCTAGATATAATCTAGATCTACACATATTTAGATATATCTAGATCTAGATTAGATAGCCTAGGCTATAATTTTAATTCAGTTTATCTCTAAATAAGAAACACACTACAGGGGCACTAAGTAAGTGCAAACGGGACCGCCATTGTACAGGAGTGCCTGTGTATCCTTGATCCGATACTGCTCTACGTCTATGTATGTACACGTTTAAAGTGAAAGAAATCTTTTTATGAGACACCAGCTGGCAAAAAACACTAGATTTTTAGTCACCAAGTCCAAACTGTGTCAAATTGACTCGAATGCTTGTTAGTCAACTTACTGCCTTTATGTTGTTTTTTTCAAGTACATTTTAATTCAGTTGCCTATGGTTAACAATATGACAGTTTTCCCTTCCAAAACCGTAGGCTAGATTTTCCAGTATATATTGCCTCTGGATCTCACTGGTTTCGGAGAGCGCGCGTACGCTTTCGCATGAATTTCCTCCTTTTTAAAAATTTCTGAGTGGCAGCTATGATAGATTCTACTTGCATTTGGTACTCTGAAAAGATCCTGAGGTGTATCTTTTATAGATTCTACTTGCATTTGGCAGATTTGTCTGGATGAAAAGCAATTTTACAGAAAAAAATTTTAATTCCAAAATGTGCGTGGTAGATTTTCTGCCATTTGTTCATCGTGTTCTTACTCAGCAATACTTTAAGGACATTTTGGGGAATGATAACTCCTTAATTTTCAAGTACAGACCCGAATATTTGAGATCAAAGAAAATGAAAAGAACAGTGAAATGGGAACTAGTATTGGACGAGGTACATGTTTGCTTAGGATGTAATGTATTATGTTTTACTTACTCTTCATAACCACAGAAGGGTGATTGATTTCAACTGCCACCGCCCTGTCAAATTTTATGGGGTTTTTTTGTATGTTTGTATTCAACTGATGATTTTATTTGCATTGCTTCTGGAGTGTGTGCTGTACTCATCTGTGCTGTTTTATGATCGTGCTATACTCATTTTCCTGACCATTGACCAATGTTCCAGCTGGAAGGACGGTCTTGCCTTCTGTGCCTTGATCCACCGCCACCGACCTGAGCTCCTTGACTACTACAAGCTATCAAGGGTAACCCAACTGTGCCTGCCTCCCTCCCCCTCCCCCAGCCTCATCCTCCCTTCCTTCCTTCCTTCCTTCCTCCTCTTCAGGGAAAAGAGGAGGAGGAGGAGGTTGTGCTCTTGTCTCTCTCTGCATTGACTGACTCTGCAAACACTGTGTGGGGCTGGCTGCATGTGCGGCTCCGTGTAGTTGTGGCCTGGCCTGCTGGCTGTTCTCTCTCTCTCCACGGCGTTCGGCATTGTTGCGCAGTTGTTGAGCCTTCTGCTACTGAGCTTTCTGGGTTTTTGTTTTTTTTGTTTTTTTGTTTTTGTGTTTTTTGTTGTGATGATGGGTTTATTTCTTCGTTTGTAGGGGTGCCACTTTTTTCCGAGGTTAGCAAGTCATGGAACATATTTTTTAAAAAGAACCTCTGCATACTAATGTAGCTTAGTATCAGACGCACTCATGAAACACAAAATTTATTCCTTATTAAACAGAGCTGATAATGCTCTTGCCTCTTATATTTTCAAGGAAACGCAAAATAAGTTCGCTGTACTAACAGGAGTAGAGCGGGGAATTTTCCTGAGTGAAGAAAAGAGACCCAAGACCCAACTCTGATTTTATTGTCAGGTTTCCTCTGAACAAGTGTCGACATCGCTGCCATAATTCATTGTGGATGTGATGTCCACATTTCCCTCCACTTTAAATTATGGGAGATAAAGACTCTTGGTGGCTCCCTTACTCCCTCTCTTTTTTGTATCTTGTTTTGTTGTTAAGTCGGTTCTAGTGGGTTTTTAAAAATATTTAAAAAAAAAAAATAATTTTAAAAAAATACTTAACAGCAGCAGAGTTGTTGTGGTTTTGCATGTTCAAGGGCTGGAATGGCTGAGCTGCCTGCCTTTGCTCATGCTTCGGCCGCTTTGTCCGCGAGCACGTTGTTGGAGGAATACACAGCACCCGTAGCAACACAGGGAAATAGATATCATGGGCAAGCTGTTCATCATGTGTTCTAAGCTCAGAAAGCCAAATTTTTCTGGAGAGAGAAAATCTTTTCATTTTTCTTAAAAATTGTGCTAACATTACTTATTTTTAAATTACTTTTTGTCTGGCCTTTTTCACCATTATTTAAAATTTAAGTTTGGACAAAATCTGTCAAATTTTAAAACTTGACTTAGTACATCTGAACAACTAGCCCATGATATAATGTCAAATTAAGAAATGTAGTTACAAAGTCTCTGTCAGGTTTCCCCATCTTTTCAAGGACTCTTATGATGTGAGTGCCGACACACAGTACCAACTTCAAAACTCTGTCGCCTCTGCCACAAATGAATGCTACTTGGGCCTCCCTCCCAGCCAAACTTTAAAAAATTCTTATTTATAGTTGATTTGATTTTGTTTTTGTTCTTTTGGGACCTTGATTTTTTTCATAGGTGGTCAACTTTGGGGTTTCCTTCCCATACTGTTCTGGGCTCTTTCTTTAGTGCTGAAATATTCATTTCAACACTCTCTGTGTGTAGGTACCCTCCTTGATTTGAAACTTATGACAGCAGCTCATTAAACGCACAGTTTGCAGGTCAAGATTACGCCATACAATTGTACCTAAGGCAGATGAAACGTCCTTGTGTTACAGGAGATCTTCCATTTCTCAGCTTCCAGCAGATTGGCTACAATTACCGAGCAATCATATACCATGTAGTTGATTTATAGTTCCATTTCTTTCAACAGCACACTGTTAACCTTAGAGATCTCAACTGTATTTTTTCATACCATCCTAATATCTTGTGTGTTTATAGCGGTACAGCTGGATACTATTATTGCTTTTTGGATGGGAGGTTGAGTCCGGATTAACCCAGTTGATTTATAGTTCCATTTCTTTCAACAGCACACTGTTAACCTTAGAGATCTCAACTGTAGTCTTTTCATACCATCCTGCCTAATATCTTGTGTGTTTATAGCGGTACAGCTGGATACTATTATTGCTTTTTGGGTGGGAGGTTGAGTCCAGATCATGAACTAGTTCAGCACTGCAGGTTGTAGCTCACGCACACAGTGCACTTACACTCATGTACTCTGTAGGATCATTACAGCAATGGTACTGCTCAGCACCTGTGTATCATACAATGTGATAGATTATGATGCGCGTCTGATCACCTGTACGTTGTTCTTTCAATTTTCTGCCTTCTCCCCACCCCGTACAAGAGGGTTCCTATACAAGAACAGTAAATTGCTTCTTTTCCTCCTCTGCTAATTTTTTGTTAGGGGTTGAAAATAAAATACTTTCATCCAAACACTCCCTGTTTGTCTGTCTTGTATCTGTCTCCTCACTCTTTCTATAGAGGCTGAAGTTTATGAATTTCTTCAAAGAGGAATTTGTGACAAAGAGTGTTTGAGGTCCCCGTTGGTACAACCTTTTTCTTTTCTTTCCCGTTGTCATCTATGTGTTGTCTACTGATCTTTCTTTTCCCCTCCATACTAAGTGACAGTTATTGTGTTGATGTGTTTCTCTTTACTCCAACCCCCAATTTATCATAAGTTCAAATGACTCATGCACGAGTGAACGAGATTCCCTTGTTGTGTGAAATGTTCTGAGTGATTTTGTCCCTATTGATAGCTGTGTTGTTACCTAAGTTGCTGTTCTGCAAACTTGACCGACTTTGTTGTGTGGACTGTTTGTGCATGTGTGTGTGTGTGTGTGTGTGTGTGTGTGTGTGTGTGTGTGTGTGTGTGTGCGTGTGTGTGTGTCTTTTGTTGTGCAGACTCATTCGTCCAATCTCCAGCTAGACTTCAGAAGTACTAATATTAATTTTTCTTATTTTTTGTTCCAGACGTTTAGATGATTGCAAGTCCAATTTTTTAACCCGATTAATTCCTTCTTGTCTCTCTGTCCCAAATTCATTGCATGATTTATAACCAAGTTTGGCTGTAGTGGTCTCAGGCTGAAACTGATATGACCTTGGCATTTTTAGTGATTATATTTTGTTAATTTTACAGAATATAAACTTGGAAAAAAAAGAAAGCAGAACAAGACAAATTTTATATCTGTGTATTTTGTGGGAATTCATTTATATTTTAAAAAAGTGAAATTGTTTTGAATCCATTGGAAAGAAAAGTTTTTGAATTTTAAAAAAAACCTTTTTATTTATAAACAAATATTCATGATGATCAGTTTCACCTGATACACGGAGCCATTCTTTCTACTCTTGTGCCTACTGTCCCACTTAGATGGCAGTAGTGGAAGGAATTTGTGGAATCAAGTTCTTTTTTGCAAGTATGGTTTCCCAAGAGACATAGTTTTTCACAGAAAATGGAAAAAGATTAAAGAAGTTTACTTATTGCCTTTCAAAAGGAACAAAGAAAGGATTATTTCAATTTTTTGGTGTAAGTTCAGCCTCATCTTATTCCTACCACTACCTGTAATTTTCTTATCTTCTTGTGAGGAAAAGCAACCTTTAATTAATGCCTGTTTTTGTTGTATAAGTCTGGCCCTTGGAAAATTAAAAGTTGATGATGTTAAGGTCAGTTTCATTTATTCGCTCGTGAAGTGGGAGACTGTTTCTTTCTTTTCATGAGTTTTTGTTAATTTTCGTCGTCTTTTCTGAAATGTTTGATACACAAAAATGTATCATGTATATTCTATAATTTATGGGATAAGGGACAGAGAATTGCATCAGTGAAGTCTCAGACCTGGGAAATTGTGTGGAAACATTTCCCAAGGGTTCCTGGGGTTGCTTTTCCCATGAGTTTACAGAGGAACACTGAGATAAAACGGTACAAATATCCCCTTATTACAGTTCTTTCCTCAAGCAGTGTTATAGGACTTGAACTCTGTTCATCATTTTTGCTCTTTCTCAAAGGAGATCTTCTCATCCCCAGCATAGAGAGTTCCACTGTACATGTATATTGTCGGTGTCAGACTGACCATGTATCTGCCAGATTAGGTCCAACACTTTTAGGGGGGGGGGGGGGGGGGGGGGGGGGGGGGGTGTATTATTATTTTCCAAAATTGCTCTAATTTTTTGTGTAGCTTGTTTTGAATTATTATAGTATCACCACTTGTAATTACGGTTATGATGAACAGGATTTCAGACAAAAGAATCGCCTGATCTAATTTAGCAGATACACTGCAAAGAGTCTGACACCAACAATAACATGTTTACATCTAATTTTCTTTTCCTTTGTTCCCAAGTGCCCCCCCTGAAGTTCCTAGAGGAGTCTTGTAACTTTAGTGTGTGTGACAGCCTCCCCCATCCCCAGTCTTAACAGTTGATTGTCTGTCCTCTCTTGCCTTGTAGTGTGCCTATGCTGAGGTCCTCTGTACTCACTGTTGCATGCCCTGTGCTTGTTTTATTTTCCGCAGTTTTAAAGACGGTCTCGCGTTCTGTGCACTCATACACAGGCATCGACCTGACCTACTCGAGTATAATAAACTAACAAAGGTAAAACACACTGTGAATCTCTAAGTTCTCCCAACAGGTTGTTCCTGTTATAGGAACAGCTATTTATGTACAGTAATCAAGAAGAGCACTTCGGACTCTGAACCTTGGTCTGATAAGTCGGATATTACAGCTCCCAGATATTTAAAGCTACCGACGGTCTCCAGTTTTTTTGGTTGTTGTCTATGATGGTAACGTCAGTGCCGATGCCATTAATGTTATTTGCAATCAACTGGGTATTTTAGTAATACCACCCAGTCAAAAAACGATTGCTTTGCTGAGTTATTTGATTAGTCTTTCAAAATAACACAATACCTCATTTGAATTTCCCTCTAGCTCTGCTACAAAAGAAAAACGCTACAAAAGAAAAACAAAATAAGAATGAAAATTAGGTTAAACAGATAGTGTTTTAGTACCAGTTAATGAACACTTGTTGTAGAATATTCGTACTTCATGGAACATTTGATAGGATCAGTCGTTGTTAGCGATCCAGTTGAGGATCAGTCGTTGTTAGCGATCCAGTTGAGGATCAGTCAAGAAATAAATGTACAAGGATGGATGTCAGACAGAGTGCTCACTGTTTGATGGGAGGTAGACAAGAATGCATGCTGCGGGCCGTTGTTCTAGCATGGCTTGCTCTGTCTGTCGACTCTTTCAGTGTTCTTCTTGCTCAATCTGCTTTTCCAGCTCCTACCTGACCAGAACATCCTGACAGATGTGTTTAATCTTAACCTAGACATTTTTATTGAAGACCTCCAACCATAGGACACTTGGGTGTCTCTACTTCTTAGTCCCGTAGCTTTTTGCACCATATGCTTTGTTTCGCAGTGCAAATGCACCCAATTTTTGCATGTGTAGACTTTTTGGGGTTTTTTTGTGTGTGGTCCAGATACATTTGATTTTGTATTGGTCCATGTCTATAGAACTGACCATACTGACCAAGCTGACACAAACTTTATTGTTACTAGATGGTATTGATGATGCCAATCTGTGCGAGGTTGTAAACTTTTAATTTTTCTTGAGTTTAAAATGTAACAATCGAGTCTTTGTCAACTTTTGTTATTTATGCCTTTTTGTATGTCAGCCTTTTATTTTTTTACAAAACGATATAAATTTTGCACAAAGACAGCACAGCTTTCCTCTATGTATGATACTGGTAAAGGCTTGATCATTCACAGGAAGGTTACATTTGATACTAGAAAGACACAGTTGTAGGTGGTTGTTGGGTGGTCTGGTGCGGTTTGCCTGGTGTGGTTAGTTCCTTATGTCTCTCAAACATCTACCGGCCTTACCTCTCCTCCTTTTTGTTGTTTGTTACTCTCTAATAGCAGCTCTCGTCTTCAGCACTTACAAGACCTATTTTTGTTGAAAGTGAGGTAAAGCTTTGTCTAAAGTTTAAAAATCCCCAAAATGTATAGTTTATGGGTAAACATATTACTTCAGCGTGTGATGTTATGTTTGACCTTTGAACCTCTCTTTGACCTCTGGCTCTTACAGCTGTTTCATATGGATCTTTTCTCCTTATTCAAAAGGTTAAGATGCCTCGATTCCTATTGTTTCTTTTGTCCCTAGTGAACAAAGCAGCTGAAGTGGCTTCTAAATAAGCAATAATGGTCAAATTGAAGACAAATGAAAACTCCATTGGAACCCCCCCCCCCCCAGATAAATCACATTTTAAGAAAGTAGAGAAAATGGACATTCAGTATTTAGAGTTTGAAAGTCCACATCTCATAGTGAGTGTAGAATTTCTTGTCCACCTCTCATAGTGAGTATAGCATTTATTTTCCCTTACATAGCACAGGACGGTGCTGGATTATCCATGTGATTTTTAAAGAAAAGCAACTCATGTAAAAGAATTGTGACTTTCTTAGTTTTTCCCCATCTGTAGTCTTCAATGATAAAAACTGTTTTCTTGTAGAGAAATTTTCCTCCTCTCTTTTCTTAGTTTACTTGAGTTGTTTTTCTTGAGCCTGCTGCAAGTACTGTTTTCTTATTCCTTGTTGTGATGCTTGCTGCACAGGAAAACCCACTGGAGAACCTCAACACAGCTTTCGACATTGCAGAGAAGCATCTGGACATCCCCAGGATGTTGGACCCCGAGGGTGAGTGCTCTCATATCTTGGCCTCAGCGAGTGATCTCGCACATTAGTCTCTGGAGACCTGCAGGGGACTCCGATAAAATCGGAACCTCTTCAACACCACCACCCCCCCCTGGTTGAAGAACCTAGAGCGGTTTTGCATAAAATTTGACCTTTATCCATGAATTCCATTTCTGTGAGGTCGTATGACTCGTGGTAAATGGCATAAAAGTACTCCTGTTTATTTTCTTGCGTTTATATTTCATTTCACTCTTTTCACAACTTCTTCTTATTATAAGTGATGTGAAAATCCACATTTTTATTTGCGTTTGTGCTCCGGACTTGTGGTAGAGGGTTGCCTCTGATGACTGTCCGTACTAGTCTTTTTAATGTCGTACTGCAGAGAAAACTGAGTGAGTGGTCGAGAATAGAGTGAGAAATACTTGGCCTTTTCCTTTAAGTAATGAGCATTGATCAGTAGAGGGTTTAAAAAAAAACAAACGGCAACAGCTTGTGTCAATCTCTCCACAAAGCCGCTTATTACTTTGTGGATCAAAGCTGTCAGAATGAATCACGGAAATCTTCAAGCCTGGCAACTAGAGGCATACAGTTCTGCAATTAAAAATGTCCAGCTGTTATGTTTTGGTGGTGATTTACTCGTTCTGCTCATTTTACCATCCCACACGTTGAGGTATACTAATATGAAACCTAATTCTCTCACCCCCCCCCCCTCCCCAAGACAAAAACATTTTAAAAAACCCAACCCTAACAGGTTTATTGACTCATTTTATAATTTTTGCACTATCCTAATGTCCACACTTTGCTGTCGTCATGGAGAGAAATTCTTCCCTGAGGAGAGAATTACTTCCCTGATTATTAAATATGAAAATAGTCTTGATACAAGATGTGTCACAAAATTCTGAAAATTCAGAGTCCTCTCGTGAGTGTTCCCATGGAGTCCGCAAAGTTCCAAATTTTTATTTCCACTGCCATCTGGCACTTCTGGTGTACACTGTGTATGTGTGTGTTTGTGTGTGTTTGTGTGTGTTTGTGTGTGTGTGTGTGTGTGTGTGTGTATTTGGTGAAACACCATACCAATGTGCAAAGATCTGGAATAAAGATGTTGTCGTGGGGGAAAAAACTAACGAAGAATCAGAAAGAGTTTGCAGGATTTTCTACTATTGATTTCTGCTGTTCTTTTCATGTCTACAGATATGGTGAATTCTGCCAAACCAGACGAGAGATCCGTCATGGCATACGTGTCTTCCTACTACCACGCCTTCTCGGGTGCTCAGCAGGTCAGATGATAATAATATATTAGTAATAATAATGATAGTAATGATAATACTGATAATAATAGTAATTGTATTAATAATAGTAATCATCATAATAAGGATGATAATAATAATAATAACAATGATGATAATAAAAATTATAACAATAATAGTTCTACTTCTTTTCTTTTTTTGTTACACCTCTAAACACTTGACATTTATACGACCTAGGTCAAGTTGCAAGTTCCATAAAGTTCTTCCTAGAACTTAAAAACCCTGTAAACTTCGACATTTACCTGGCCTATTTGTGTTGCAAATGCCGTAAAACTCTCACTCTAACTAAACCAAACCGTTGTTTGTGTCCTCAGGCTGAGACTGCAGCCAACAGAATCTGCAAGGTCCTGAAGGTGAACCAGGAGAACGAGCGCCTCATGGAGGAGTACGAGAGACTGGCCAGCGATGTGAGTCATGTTCTGCTCAGTGTGGCACTTAATAGACAGTAAAACATAGGTGTAATGTACATTGCTTAAAACATACTCTGGCTGTAACATTCCATGGGGGGGGGGGGGGGGCTCTCGTGGCCTAGAGGTTAAGGTGTTGGCCTCTCATTCAAAGGTCCCGGGTACGAATCCGGGTAGCGACCGAAAAATTTTCTTCTCTAAAATTGTCTCCTTTCTCCTTCTTTCCTGCTCTCTAGCAATGTTCTGCTGTCTGCTTTCATTTCCACTTTCTGCCCCCCACCCCCTCACCTCCTTTGCCCCCTCCTCACCTCCTTTGCCCCCTCCTCTGGGCTCCTGACTCTTTCTGCAGCCTTTCTACTGCTACTCCTTGGCTCCTCCTTACGGCTGTCTTTCTGCCACACCCCTGATCTTCTGGTAGGAAAGATCTACACCTAGCTTTCTCGGACAAGGGCGAAAAATCTCGGAGGGCCCGTGTGCAAGTTGCGCACGTTAAAAATCCCTTGGTGGTCTAAAATTGATAAGGCTTCGGCCGCCACCCGGGCAAAATTCAAAATTTCCTACCAACTGAAAATATTAGGTGTGTCCCGTGCGCTCATATGACCTATGCAGTTGGAAGCGCCGTAAAACACTTTACAAAAACATTCCTGGATCAATAACAGCAACTGTAACGTTCACTTTCTGAAGCCCCCAGTCCTGTTTTGTATTTTGTGTTTTGACTTTTTTGGGACTAATATGTACCTCAGCTAAGACTTTCAAAATCTTGGATCAGAAGGGAGTATGTTATACTGAGGTTTTACTCTGTCTGGGAATATGGCTAATGACAAAGTCATTTTTAGGGAATATTTTGGGGAATTTTGTTGTTGTTGTAAGTTCATAAAGTTAACTGACAAACGTAAAATTACTTCAGTCACATTACCTTTTGTCTTTGAGATGGGCTGTTCGTCTATGGCTTCACTGAGGAAAGTAACACTAAGATCCATTATGCTATTCATACCCTGGTTCTTTCAACTCCTTTCTACAGCTTCAGTGATAAGTTACTCAAATCGTACGGGTCTTGGAAAATATCTCTCTCCCCTTGTTTCAGCTCCTGTCTACAACTTAAGGTTTGATGTTTTACAACACTCACTCTCTCTCCTTCTCTCCGCTTGTTTCAGCTCCTTCCTACAGCTTCAACAATAAGTCATTCACTCAACCTATTTGCTTGTGTTTTACAACTCTTTCTGTCCGTGCTTGTTTCAGCTCCTGGAATGGATCCGCCGCACCCGCCCCTGGCTGGAGAACCGCACGACAGACAACACGCTGCCGGGCACGCAGCGGCGCCTGGAGGAGTTCCGCGACTACCGCCGCTCACAGAAGCCGCCCAAGCTGGAGGACAAGGCCAAGCTGGAGAACAGCTTCAACACGCTGCAGACGCGCCTCCGCCTCTCCAACCGCCCCGCCTACCTGCCCACTGAGGGCAAGATGGTTTCGGTAAGCTCTTGGCTCTTGTGATTTGTGGTACCAAGTGATGTAAGATTCTTATTAAATCTTATCAAACCAAAGCTCCGGTGGTCCAGCGACCCAATTCTTGAAGTAGTGAGAAGCAGAGGGATGTTTTGGTCATTATCTTTTATGGCGGATTGGGTAAGCTTTAGGTTGTTGTTATTCGTGGTACAAGTGGCTGTCAAATTGTTATTAAATCTAAACCAAAGGTTTGGGGCTCGTTTGACCTAATTTTAGAAGTAGAAAGAGACAGGATTTTTTTGGTCATATTCTTTTATGGTAGCTTCTCTTTAACTGGAAGATTTTACAGGGTACGAGTGATTTGGAGGTTTGGGTTTGAAGTAAGTGAAAATCAAGAAAAGACCTCTTTTATTTATCATCCGCCTGAGGAAATTTGATTTGCATTGTTGTGGACTATTCATTCGTAGCAGAGAACATTTGAGAGGTTCCTTGATTATAACTAAAAAATGTAGTATAACGCCAGTACAAATGATATTACTCTACAGTAAAGTAGTTTTGATTTTGCTCCCCTGCCTTGTCACTGCAGATGCCACCTGCACTGTGTTATTTTCACAAGTTGCTAAGTAACTACATATAATAATATTCTCCAGAAGTAACGTTTGGTGGTATGTAACCGTTGTCTAGTGATGGACATTTTGCAACAATAGAACAAACTCTTCATGACGGTTTCTGTTCTCCTCCCAGGACATTGCCAATGCTTGGAAAGGACTCGAGACAGCAGAGAAAGGCTTTGAAGAGTGGCTGCTCTCTGAGCTGCAAAGGTATGTTCAATAGTAGTAAATCAGCAATTTCTTCGCTTGTTCCAGAATTCAAAGAAATTTTAGGCTCTTGTAACAATGTTTTTTACTATACAGGTGTCCCCTGTTGCCCTGAGTATGTCCTCAAGTGTACTCTTTAATTGTATGGTATTTCCATTATATGATATTTCCATTATATGATTAAAATATTGTGAGAGGTTTGCTATATTTTTGTTTGGAAGTTCTTCAAGAAAATGATTAACCACCCTTATCTTTTTTCCCCCTGTGTTATAAGATATGGAAGTACAATAACAAATTAAAGTTTTATTTTTATCTATCTCATGTGTTTTTACCCTTCCTGCAAAGCCACAGAAAATTCTCACAGGGATGATAAAGCATTATCGTATCTCACCTCACCTCACCTCACCTCACCTCACCTCACCTCACCTCACCTCACCTCACCTCACCTCACCTCACCTCACCTCACCTCACCTCACCCCACCTTACCTCACCTCACCTCACCTCACCTCACCCCACCCCACCTTACCTCACTTCACCTCACCTCACCTCACCTCATCTCCATCTGACAGATTGGAGCGCCTGGACCACCTGGCCCAGAAGTTCCGCCATAAGTGTGAGATCCACGAGGAGTGGGCCACGGGCAAGGAGGAGATGCTGCAGTCCGGAGACTTCAAGAGGTGCCGCCTCAATGAGCTCAAGGTGAGAGAGAGAGAGAGAGAGAGAGAGAGAGAGAGAGAGGGAGGGAGGGAGGGAGGGAGGGAGGGAGGGAGGGAGGGAGGGAGGGGCTGTTTGTTTCCTAATGGCTATTTTCACCATATATGAAAAGGGCCCAGTAATATTGATTGTAAAAAGCAAAATACAGCTGTTCGCTGTTTTGAGGCTAGAAAAGCCTGTTATATTGATGGTAAAAACCGTTTTTGTTCCTGATAATTGAGGAAAATCTATCATGGGCCGGCTTAAAAGATGTACCGAGCACAAAATTGTAATTTTTTTCTTTTTTACTTCAGTTTTTAAATCTGTGGTATTGGTTACATATACTCGTAAAATATTTTATCTAAATTCAAATTATAAATGTGGAAAAAAGAAAGGACAAATACATAATGTAAGTACGAGTTTGAAAAGAGTGAAAGATTTTTTTTTCTCTCATTAAAAAATTTTTGTGTTCTGGGCTTAGAGTGGTTGAATGTTTCCTCCAGCATGAGCTCAGAATATGTCTTCACCTAGGTTTCTTTTTTTTCTTTTTTTTGTTCTTTTTTTTTAGGCCTAGTCAAGCTGTGAATTACAAGCTGGTTTCTTTTTAATTATGAAATTTAAAAAAGTACAATTATTGTTTCACAGTGGGTATGTTTTTGTCATTAAATCTTGATATCTGTGAAGTATGACTTCTTTCGATTATACTTCCTTTAAGTTTTTGTCTCCATTTATTTCTCTCAGACACTCAGTGTTGCCATGGAAACGCAGATGTTTTCCCTTGTGATCCAATCCTGTAAGGGGATCCGTTTGATATTGTTGCGTTTATTTAATTCATTTCTTTTTGGGGTCTTTTGGATGAAAAGCTAGCATAGCTTGCATTAAAGTGTTTTGGTTTTTATTGTTTTTTTTCAGGCCATGAAGAAGAAGCACGAAGCATTTGAGAGTGATTTGGCAGCTCACCAAGACAGAGTTGAACAAATCGCAGCCATTGCCCAGGAGCTCAAGTGAGAATTAATTATGTGTTTTTTTCTTAAAGGTTTTTTTTTTTTTTGGCTTTAGGTTTTTTTTCGGAACTTTCATCGTGTTACTTTAAAGTCTAATATGAATGTACAAGATACAATAAATAAATAATTTTTATTTTGCCGAATGATAAGGATTTTTAGAAAGAGAAAACTCTTTTAAGTGCACGAAATCAGTTCAGAACATATACGGTGTCTAGTGCTGATTTTTTCCCCCTGCAGTTTTCCTGTGTAGATAAGTTCAATGCTGATGTTCGGATTTTTAGAAAGAGAAAACTCTTTTAAGTGCACTAAATCAGTTCAGTACATATACGGTGTCTAGTGCTGATTTTTTCCCCCTGCAGTTTTCCTGTGTAGATAAGTTCAATGCTGATGTTCTTTGTATGAAGAATTTTTGTTGTGGTTTTGGTACGTGCTACTCAGGGAGCACTGGGGGATGTAAGCGCAGTGTTTACAGAGTCATGCAGTACATGCCCACCCAAGTCCAATGCCAAAACCACTGCCCAACATGCATGGGAAGAAATTTTATGTGAAGACTAAATTTTTGGTAAAGTTTTCCCTTGTGCTAGGGGGGTTTGTTCTCTCATAATATATATATATATATTGGGGTTTGTTCTCTCATAATATATATATATCGCTGGCCAGCTGTTCTGATGTACTAAACACGACATTTTGAAATGGGAAAAAAATAATTGCAGTTTCTCAAATCTGTGATATCAGTTGCATGTTTTCAAGAAATATTTTGTCAAAATTCAAATTCTAAAATTAAAAAATAAAAGCTAGAAAAGATACATAGTTTAGATACAATTTTTAAAAGTATGCAACTGGTTTTTTTTCTCCCTCCCCTGTAAAATGTTGCTGTCTGGGTTTAGAACAGTTGAACAGCTTGCTGACGATATTTGAATGTAGGATTAATTAGAACTATGGCTGTAACAATTACTTCTTGTTCATTTTTCAGCACCCTGGACTACCATGACGTTGCTACAGTTAATGCAAGATGCCAGGTAAGATATTACTGTTTTCTCCTCTAGTATTTCTCCTGCGCTTCAAATATTTTTTGGAAAAAATTTTATTAAAAAGGTGTTAAAATAAATTTGAGCTTGAATTGTGTTGCAAACTTTTCAAGTAAATGTTTTGCACTTCTCCTTTCTGTGCTGTTTTTTTGGGTGTTTTTTTTTTTTTTTTAAGTTCCTGTTTAGAAAGATCCTTCCACTAGTTAACATTATGACTGTTCTTTTTTTCCCTTCTGTTCTGGGAGATTTGTTTTTTGTGTATGTTTCTCTCTTGTTTGTAACACATCTGTTCTTCGGTATTTATATGACCTTATTGTGTCGCAAGTGCCGTAAAACTCTTACTACTAAAAGGGAGACTTGTTTCATTTGTTGTTATATGACTGCATTGAGTGACAGGCTCCATTTTTGTTTTTTGTGGCTGGTTGGCAGGTGCTCTGGTTGGTTTGCACCTTGTTTCATATCAAACAATTATCATCCTTGTCTCCTTCTTTTCTTTGAATGTTACTGTCTTATATGGCATTTATATGACCTATTTGTGTTGCAAGGTCTGTCTGTAAAACTCTTACTAAAACGGAAACTCTTGGTCTGTGGAGACATGTTTCATCCATTTTTATGTGACAGCACTTTGTGAGGGACTTTGTTTTATTTTTGTCTCCAGCGTATCTGTGACCAGTGGGACGTCCTTGGCCAGCTGACCACCAAGAGGCGCGAGGGTTTGGAGGAAGCCGAGCGTATCCTGGAGCGCATCGATCAGCTGCACCTTGAGTTTGCCAAGAGGGCTGCTGTGAGTGGTAGTCAAAGTGTTTAGAAGAGGTTTAGCGCCCCTATCGACACTTTTAGTTTATTTAAGAGGCAGGACCTCTGAATTTAACCCCCGTTCTGATAAGTCTGAGCCTAAAGGGTTGAGAACCTTGAACAAAACGACCTGAGTTCAAGAACGCCCAGTCTGAGATTCGAACCAGGGCCATCCAATCCTTAGTGTAGCATTATACCAACTGAGCTAACAGAGCGCCCAAGGAGTAGTAATGATAACATTCTGTGAATATAGATTGTAAAATGCATAGAGCGTGCTGTTGAGCGGGGATATGCGCTATACAAATGCCACCTGTATTTATTATTACATTAGCATTGTCAATCTGATTTGGAAATCTGTGATTTCAGTGAAAGTAGAGTAGTTCTGAGAAATTCTCTCTTTTTTTTCTTTTTGTTATCAGAATTGAAAGAGAGGGACTTCAAACATCATGTCATGTGGTGAAGTGAGACCCTCTTAACTTGAAGTGCACTGTAGAAAAGTGATATTAGGCCGATTACAAATTTTTGGTGAACCGTTTTCCAAATGAAAACATTACTGGAGTTTGAATTTGAATTAAAAACTAACATAGGGAGTCATGGGTTTTTTCCGAGAGTTTTTTCCGAGAGTTTTTTCCGAGAGTCTTCCAGGGTCCCAATTCTAATTTTGATGCTAGGCGATTTGTTATCTGTCACATGTCATTTTGCTCTTCTTCTTAGTATGACAGAAAATTTTCTATAGCCTATTTTGTTGATGAGTTGTTGGCAGGTGCTCTTGTGTGGTTTGCTCCTTCTTTCCTATCAAACATCCTATCTCTCTTCTTTCTTTTCTTTGTACGTTACTCTCTAGTAACACCTCTAATCCTCGGCGCTGAATGACCTATTAGTGTTGCAAGTGCCTTAAAACTGTAAGTAAAACTAACCAAGTTAGTTGGTACTTACGAATGTATTGGTTTTGTTCCAGCCCTTCAACAACTGGATGGACGGTGCCAAGGAGGACCTTATGGACATGTTCATTGTGCACACCACAGAGGAGGTGCAGGTGAGTCTCGGGGGAAGTTGTGACTCGGGGATGCTGATTTTTCACCAGAAGAACATTTAATTATTCTAAGCTTTTTGGTTGGGTTTTTTTTGTTGTTGTTTAACCTCATGTAAATTGTGATTATTAACTGTCCTTTTGTTTGCAAATGCAACTTTGTTAATATTCAGGTTGTTTGGGTTTTTTTTCACAAAATTTCAGTGTAATCTCTGATGATAAATTGTTGATAATTTCAGAGGTTTGGGAAATTGTACGTCTTGACTTTCTCTTCTGGGGTTTCAACAGAGATTTTAAAAATTGAGTTTTGCTTAAAAGATGATTGTCAGTCGTTTTGGTAAGTTCATGTGACTGAAATGTCGTTCATCAGTCTTGCCTTTTGTAATTTAAAATGAAATGTGTGTGTGTATGTGTTACCGACTGTGAAAAGAGGAATATGAATACTTTTATGAGCCTGAATGTCTCTTCAATTACCAATTTCATTATTAATGTAAGGCTCATAGAACCCAATTGGATAGTGGGGGCTTTAAAATTATTGTTATATTATTATTATTATTTATTTATTTATCTATTATTATTATTATTATTATTATTATCATGAATCCAACTGCATCATGTGGCTTCTCTCTGTTTACCCCGACCACCACCACCACCTACCGACCCCCAGGGCTTGATCGACGCCCACGAGCAGTTCAAGGCCACCCTGGGCGAGGCTGACAAGGAGTACTCGACCATCGTCAGTCTGGTCCAGGAGGTGACCAGGCTGGGCCAGCAGTTCGGCATCACCCCACCGGACAACCCGTACACCACCCTGCACGCACAGGTAGGCTCACCACGCGGCTGCCGAGTGCACCTGGTGGTCGTATTTACGACTTTTCTTCGACTTTGTGGGAGGACCAAGTTTTCTTGACACCCATCATTATTTTCTCTTTACCCGTGGGCAATATTTTATAGATCTGGCTACGAATTATCCCCCCCCCCCCCTGTCCTTTTTGAGGGTTCTTCTTTTTTTTAAAGAATTGGGTCACTGTTATCAGGTTGTAAGGTTTGAGTTTGGTTTCGTTTTTACACGTGATGGTATTTTTGGATAAAATGCAGGTTTTATTTGACCTCCAGTGGAATGGTTTGCCTGTTTCTTGATCACTGCACCAAATTATACTTGATGAGTTTGTGTACATTTGTGCAAGTACTTAGACTGGTAGGAAAGGGGAAAGTGGTGCATAAGGCTTGAAAACTCTTGCTTTGTATGGTCCAGACTAAAATAGGGTAGCGGTTTGCCTCAGTCCTCCAATTGGAACTCACTTGACCTACTTTGCACACCCAGGGTTTCCACTCTCTGTGGGGCCGACACGACGGGTAGCTGTGATGTCATACCCTAAGGACCAGTTTAATTTATTTTAAGAATAGGGGGCTGAAGTTGACGGTTACCACTTGCTTTTCCTATCAGGGAATAGTGAGCCTCAGTGCAGTAGACTGGTGTGCGTGGCACGACGTGTGATGTGCGTGGCACGACGTGTGATGTGCGTGGCACGATGTGTGGTGTGTGTGACGCCACGTGTCATGTGTGTGACACCATGTGTCATGTGACTAACCTCACGTGTTGGGAGAGACGCACACAATCTTCTACAGGCATGGTAGTTTGGGAACTGGGTGTAGTGATAAGTCTGTCGCTTGATTTTTTCTTCTTCTTCTTTGTTTATCGGAAATGATAATTCAAGACACTTTTTCTCAACCATCAACGTGCTGATGTTAAAAATGCCTTGTGCATTTATTTCGCTTTGGCCAAATCTTTTTGAGATTCTATGTGGCTTGAGGATTACACTTACAGATGTAAAAGTTTTGTTTTGATAACTGGTTTAAGTATCAAAAGAAAACTTAAGAATGAGATGTTTAACAGCATAGTTAAATATCCCCCTGTAGAGATGCTCATAAAAGGCTTTTCATCATTCTGCCCCTCCCCCACCAGCCACTCATTATTTTTTTTCCTTCAGCCTACTTTTGGTGCTCATTAGTGGCCTCTGCTTCTTGAGTAGATGTAGTTGAGCCCTCATGTCTTCTGGGGAAAGTTTTTTTGACTTCTCTGGAAGATATGCTTTTTTAAATTACTGTAAGCAGCAAGCGTATTTGAGATTGCTTGTATAGTATATCTTACACCCATAGATTATTTAGAAGTGCTTTTGATTCGTGAGAATTAGTTTGCATATTTTGTCTTCTTTGATGCATACATCATCCATTATTGATCTTGTTTTGATTGGTGCGTCATTGCCGCCTAAACATGCATTCCCTTATTAATGACTGTGGTCAGACATGATATTTGCATACTGGTTGAGCCCTACACTAACAGGAATATGAATGAAGCCCAGCCCCTAGCACTCATCAGAGTGATGTAAGCAAGCGTAGTTGGTTTTTGGGGGGACATGCTGTGATTATGCATGCACTGAACTACCTCATTTTGTATTTATTCTTAACGATTTACCAGCCCCCAGGACTAAAATTTCATATGCTGTCTAATACGCCAAAGATATCATGATATTGCATATGACACGGAACGACGAAAGGAATGACTTTATTTAGCAGTGAGAGGTCTGACGTTATTTTGCCCTTTTATGTCCACCGTCTGCTCAAAAAGACCGGAGATCTCCCAAGCAGGCACTACTTGGCAGTTGTCCGGACTGCCTTAGACATTGTCCAACAGATGGGAAGGGGGCTGTACTCAACAGTCAGAGATAATTGGGATTGTTATCTTTACAGTGTAGAATATTACTAAGTCTCACGTCGCAAAATTTGTTTTATCCACTACATTTTATGTTTCTTTGAAATTTTGAGATATATGTAGCAGAGCATTTCTGTAATTTGAAGACAAAACTGAGATACTACAAGTGGGTCAAGGTGAGGGAAAGATGATTTGACAAAAATGGGAAAATTGTTAGATTTTTTATGCCAATGTCTTGGCACATTGGGCTAGTCAATTATACTCTGTAGTTTGCCGATTTTGTTTTTTAACTTCTTTCAAATCCTTTTACATAGGGGCTTTTGAAAGACACCACAAGGTTATTTGTGTAGGGGATGGAGAGATAAAATGGATGAAAGTTTCATGTAGAAGATATTCATATAATGTACTTGCCTTGTTCAAAATGGCTTGAGGATAAAAATAATTTTGACTAGGTAAGGTATCCATCAATTTTGGTAGCATTTGAAAGCTTATCAAGGAGGTGGTTGCTAGCGTTAACGTAGAGTTTTTAAAACATTGTCTTTCTTATACTTTAGAGAATTCAGTCTTGTTTATATTCATTTTAAAAAATACAAAGAATCAGAGTTCGTTTATCATTTTTACCTGTGTATAGAACTCGTTGAAACTTTTTTTAGGTTGTGGCAAGCTGCCAAATACATGCTTCTCACCAATTTTATCTTTGCATTCGTTTTGTGTGTGTGTGTTTGTGTGTGCGTGTGTTGCATTGCCCGGGAGTAGGAGGTTAGTATTAGTCAGTAAGTGTTACTAGTTTTTGTCACCTTGTACCCGGAAGAAAAGGACGTTGAAAAGCCAACAAGTTTTCTAGCCTTTTCTAACATGCTTTGGTGAAGGCAGAATGTGCGGCGGGCTTCAAAATATGGTAGTTGTGGTTCGAAACTCAAGATTAACAGTCTATTGCCATGTTGATGGAGATTTGAAATATTCTAGCATTAATTTTGTCTTTCAGAATTGAAGCAAAGGTTGGAATGTGAAATCTGTAAATGTTCAGTAATTAGTCAAGAGAGTCATAACAAGCGATGTACGCCTATCCACTTTTATTATATAATTATATAATGATGGTGTAAATTTTATATGTTATCCAAGTAAATACAGCTCTTTTCCTCTGTCAGAGTAATATTATTTTAAAAAAACAACTGCGAATCAAGCTGGACGGAAATGAAATCCGCTCTGCTGTAGGAATCTTTGTTTAGCGTAAGAAAGGTTTGTTGAGTATCCGTACATCCTGCCTTCACTTGGATGTGCTTGCTGTGCATTGTGCACTACGGTCAGGGTCCCCTGTCCTCCGTACTGTAGTAGACAACAGACATACCTATCTGTCTGTCCCCTTTTGCTCATCAGTAACATTTTGTTTATTTTTTTGCTTATCTAACATTTGTCTGTATGTATTGTACAATTTCTAGCATTGTGTTTTAATTTTAAAATTTTTGTGTCCTAGATTTTTGTTTTCTTCTGTTTCTGAAGTAATAAGTAACAGTGGGAGGTACGGTACATACATTTTATAGAGTTTGTTTGTAGGGGGAAACAAATGCAGTTTAGCATTAATAAGGTAAGAGGGTTGGAACAACTGACTGGAATGTCATACTTGGGGAAAGCTGAGAACGCATTGAGTAGAAAAAACAGGTTGCAAAATCTGCAGTGGTGCGTCTACGGTCAACGGTCAGCCAGACTGAGGGATAGGTGAAGTCTGCAGTGGTGCGTCTACGGTCAACGGTCAGCCAGACTGAGGGATAGGTGAAGGTGAAGGAGATGAAGGATAGGATCATGGTCTGGGCTCTTCTCTAATGATTTGAGAATTTTTGTGAGAAAAGAATGTTCTGTCAATGATTTAGGCAGTCACTAGTGCTGTGTATTGTATGACTTTTGATCAGAAACAGATTTGCAGACACCCAAAAGGGGGATGGAAATCAACTTTAGTTGTAGTAAAAAAAAAGTTTGATAGGTGAGATCAATTTGGGGGGGGAGGGGGGGGGGAATGGTGAGGGAGAGGGGGATTTTTGAGTTACAGTACTGTAGTTTTGCATGCTATGTGTGTATGAATAATGTGTCTTTTAATGATGGGTCATTTTCATCACTCACTCCCTCTATGTGACAGAATGTTTTTAACAAGAAAATGTGTTGTGTCATTATGGTGAATGGACCTATATTCCCAACATTCTTCATAAAGTTACTGTAAATGTGCTAACATTGTATTGTTGCTGTAGTTCTGTAATCTGCACTTCACTGTGGTGATGGGGGAAATTGACTACTTGTGTTTTGGTGGCTTCTTGATAATGGAAAGATACCCTGTAATGAGCTCTCCTTTTCTTAAGCTTGACTGGGCAGGTGATTCATCCGCCAGTGTGTGTGCTCTGTGGCCGCCTGTTACTGACATGTGGTTGACGGGTGCTCTGGTGTGGTTTGCTCCTTCTTTCCTTTCAAACATCTATCTTCTTTATCATCTTTATCTCTCCTCCTTTACTTTGTATGTAACTCTAGTTTGTAATGCTTCTAATTTTCGACACTTACATGACCTATTCGTGTAGCAAGTGCCGTAAAACCCATCACTAAAACTAAACAGTTTCTGCCCTGTATTCCTTGGACTAGCCCGTGTTGGTGGTAAAGTTATTAACGGAAGAATTCTTGATTGTCATATACTTGGCTTGGATTCCTTGCAAGACAAAATAAGTTATGTTCAAGGAAAATAATTGGTGTTTTGATTCCTCTTAAAAATTGGATGCATTTCTTCAAGTTTTGAGACTGAGATATTGTCATTGAGTTGTCATTGAGTCTATATTCCTTGGTCCATAGGAGCAACTTAAGCATCCATGAGTTACATTCTTGTCTGATCTTCTTTCGCTTTTACGAGAGTACTGTAAACAGTTGTTGTAACGTCAGAGGAACCTTTATAATAATTATTATTATCATTACTCTCTGTCTTCTGTTCTTGTTATGCACGTAACCATAACCTTTGATGATTTGTTCATAAAATGTCATCGGGTCAAGCTGGTAGCTGACCTTCCCCTGTCCTCGTATGTCTTGCGTTATGTGGCATGCGTAACATTTCCCCCTTCCTGCAGTTTGTCCATTGTGGAGGTATAGAATGAGGTACATGTTTGTTTGACAAATTTTGCTGTCTGCTCCATTTGCATGTTACAGTCTTATTATCAACCGCCCCCAGGCCTGAGAATTTAAAAAGTTATTTTCTGTGGAAGTTTCATTCATTGCATGGTGGTAATTTTCATTTTGCTGTATTTTCAAACTCATTTTCAGAATGTTCCCTTCTTCTCTTCTGACGCTCAGTTTGATAGAGGTGTTTGTAGTCAAATGTCTTCTCTGGACTGGTCTCTCTTTTTGGGTGTTGACCTTAAGTTACAGTTCAAATAATACTTCTTTCGGACAACGTTTGTGAGAAACAAATCGTTATTTTTGTCTAGTGCTTAGAAACTAGGAAGATCGACTGGAAGCTTTCACATTTTCCTATCTCACCAGTCTGTTGAATTTAGTATCGTACAGATTCACTACCATTGTATATTAGACCTACATGTACATAAGTTTTGCGTGTTTCTGTTCTCTGAGAAAACTTGCTACTCTGGACTTTCTTTCATCATTTTGACTTGCTATCTTTCCCGAGGCTTTGCTCTTTTTGGATGTAAACATTCAGCCAATATCCCACACTCCTATTGTATTGTGTGATCTGTTGTCCTTGAGTAATTTATGATTAGTTTTATTTCAGAATACAATAAGAAATTAATTCTCTTCATTATCATACATGTTGTGATATCACTTTTCTAGTTCAAGTCACCCCGTAGATTCAGTATCTTGAAGCTTCCCATTTATCCATTTATTTCTGTCGTATAACGGCTAACTCTGCATTTTACTTTGATGTTAATTTTTTTTTTTTTTTCATTTTCAATGTTGAGTCAATTCTGTTTTTTAGCAACATGCTGGTCTCAATAAGTGTCTGTATGACTTACAATAACCCATTCATCTTTAGATGATTTATTTATTTATTTACCGTTATTTGCCATTTTTATAGCTTGGTCCAGGGAGCAATTGAACTATCTACATGTACGCCTAATCATCAGATGCTCTATCCTTTTTTTTCATACTGGCTTGTAGTCTTCTGTACAGTTAACAGACTCTTTGTGTTATGCTGTGATCGTATGAAATTTTTTTTTTTGGTTGTTTTTTTCACTTCCCTAAGCTGTCCTACGAACAGGACTGCTTATCTTTCGTCTGTAACTTTTATTTGAAATTTTGCTTGTTAAGCTTGAGATTGTTTGCCATTGATAAATATTTTAGGAATGATAATATGTCTCCTGTTACACTTACACCTGAACAAATAGAAAGTCTAAAGGTGAAATCTTACTTACCCCTGTTTTGATGTAGGCTACCTGAAGCTTTTCTCATCATTGTGTGTGATAAGATAAGATTAAGATTTACATCAGTCTCCTCATAATGTTCCTTCAAGAGCCCTCCCAGTATGACTATGTGCTTACATGAACCAGCTATGTTGAAAGTTATTTATATTTAGCATAGTTTGGTATGACTTTTGCAAGGAAAAATGAAAGGACTAAAAATGTAATTGGGACCAAAAGATTAAAAAAATTTACTTTAATGTTTTAATTATGCGAGATATAATATGAGTGAGTTTATTGAATTTTACCTATGTGGGAGTGTGAAAGCTCTGTCGTTTGTAACTGATGACACTGTCATTTTTTTTTTCTTTATTGATAGAAAAACATGTATGGGCTACATTGTACAAACACCACCCC